GTTTTAAACTAAAAACAAAAGTTTTTTGTTTTTTTCTCATTTTATTTTGAAATTGAAAAACCAAATAAGGAACCATCCACAAATTTGTGCAACATCAAAATCCTCCAATGCAGAACAACGGGGTAGTGACGACGCAACAAAGAAAATAGGGGGAAAAACACAAACTGGGAAGGTAAAGAGACGGAGGCGAAAAACAACAAGGCAGCTGCACAATCTGAAACCAACACAAAGACAGGAAGTCATACCAACTGTCACTTTAAAAGGTTGTGTTGTTTACATCCAGATGATGGGGGTGAATGTTTAAACAGGTCATGCTTTGCTTCTGGGACTTTTTACTTCCTTTCAGTGGGTTAAATAGCCTGAGCTGTCTGAAACACATACGTCCCATCTGTTTGAATATTTTTACATCGTTAAGAAATTAAAATTTTACTAAAGAATGATTAGTYACACGCTCACTAACTTTTCAGCTAGTCTCCAAAGTTTTGCAAACAAACCATTCTTATTCCCAAAAACTTTTCACTTCTTATATAATTTTCCACATTAAAACTTTGATTTATGTTACTGAACATCTACCTCACTTTTCCTCCAATCCCTTTTCCCTGTTCACATCCAAACTCCCGCTGACTTCCATTGTATCTGAGCTTAGAAATTACTCTTTAATGCTGAAATTGAACATTCTTTTGAACTTGTTACATCTCTTTCAGGATTTCTTCAGCATGTTCTTTCTGTGCAGGTGAGGCTCTTCTCTGGACACTCTGGTTTCCTCCCACAGACCAAAAACCTGCCAGTTTGGTTAACTGGTAGATCTAAACTGAGTCTAGGCCTGAGTGAGAGAGTGAATGGTTGTCTCGTGCGTTTAYGCACTGCAGGGCCGGCCCCGGCCCGGCCCGGCCCGACTTCTAACCCGGGGTGGGCTTGAGACCTGTCCAGGGTGTCTGTTGCACACCCCTTACACAGAACGAAGACGTAAAGTAAATGGATGGATATTTCCTTCACAGTAAATGCCAAAAAAAAAACGGCTAATAAGTAGACCCTTGTGCTTTAAACATTTTAGAAATGTAGCAGCATGGACTGTGTGGATCTATGTTTTGACATCATCAAACATGGATAAATGTTCCAACTCTCAGAGGATGTAAGTAGCTGTGTTTCCATTGCAAATGTGCGCAAAACTTTGTTGATATTCTGTTAATGTCGAAAAAACACAGTTTCGCAATTGCGGTGTTTCCATGAAGTAAGATACTATTAAAGTCACGTGTAAATACATTTATTCTCGCAATAAGTCATTACAAACATGGCAGCAATGGATGTAAACATGCATATTGCTACCACGGCACTAGCGCTCATCATCAACCATCAGAGGAGACGTCGGCGTCTAATCGAGGCTTTTGAGCGACAAGCCCCTTGTACCTGGGAGCGGCTACATTTGCTGCGTTTTTGGGAAATTGTAGTTGGTGATTTTACTGCTTTCTTTTATTGCTTTGGTGATTTTACTACTTCTACTTCCTGTTGTCTTCTTCTTTGTCATCTTTTTCGCCAGTAGAAACATCCAGTTCTTGATCACGTGACTCCCGTGATGCAAAAAAAGTGTTTCCATTGCAGTTTTGCGAAATGCACCAATTTCGATATGGGCGAAAAACCACCTTATCCTAGTGCAAAAACATTTTATCGAAAAACGTACTTTTTTTTTTCGAAACTGAATGTTTCCATTAAAGGGGCATATTGTGTTTGAGGTTCTTAAAGAGACAGAGGCCTATTTCAAGGCGTTTAGAAACAGATATGATGAGAAGTCAAATTTATTTTCTATTTAAACATATAAACAGCATTTYAATAACAACTAAAGGTGACATAGTTATTTTTAATATGCATAGAATTTAAATATATGCCTGAGAAACACATAATATTGCCCCTTTAAGCAAATTTATTTTCAAAATTCTAATTTGCGCATTTTTATGGTCAATGGAAATGCAGCTGGAGTTCCTCTCTCCCTTGAAAACTGTTGTTTTCTCCTCAAATTGCCTACAGGCCTACAGTCGTAAATTGCAGCCAGTCAGAGACCTCTGACCCAATCAGYATGGTAACGAGGACCCTGGATCCTAAAACCACCTTCGTTATCGGACAGTGATCTTTTCTGGAATTTGATTCTCAGTGTCCCAAACTTTCTGTGGAACTCTGAATAACCACTGATGAAAACAATTATTCTTGCTTTATTCTTTATTATTGTGTGTACATTGTATTAATTTATGATTTAAATGTGTGATTGTTTAATCAATGTCTCATTTAACTTCTTTTATTCCARCAGTTGAAAACGGAGGACTCTTTAATCTTCATTTTAATCTTTAAATGTTTTTTTTCCCGTTAAAATCATTTGACACATACAGCAAAGTATTTACAATGTTTACAGTTATGATAATGAAGCATTAATAACTTTTGAGAGGATTAGAAAGTTATATTTCAAAGTTTACACTTTTGGTTTCTTTTAAGTCAAAATAATTCTTGGTATTATTCTTTTCAGACAGAGCAGAAGAGAAATGTGTCTCTCTCTCATTGGTCAGTTTATCTAAACGTGGTTCTATTGCAGGACTAAGTCATAAAACTGTCTTAATCTGTCATCATAAACCCTAGTCTTGTTCAAGTCTTGAGTCTCAACAGAGTCTTGTTGGGTAACTCCCACTCTTTCCCCAGCAAAGGTATGGGGTGAGAGAGAAGTCTGTTTTGAGTGTCTAACTTAAAAAAAGATAATAAAGTTTTTGGACAAATACAACTCCAGTCATCACCTGTGTCTTATAGCTGCAACATATAATACTAAGAATTACTTCATGTCTAACCACGAGTGACTGAATTATGTCATTCCTATATTAAAATAAAGTAAATAAATTCAAATTTGGCCATACAATCAACAGTCTCTCCATAGAAATGACTGTAATAATTATCTCATGGCCAACGCTTACATGTTTTTATCCAGTAACACCGGACTGACTCCGTAATTAGGAAGTAGCTTAAATTGTATAAATATTGTCATGATTACTTAAAAAGGTTCTTAAATAAGTAAATTACCACAGACGTATTCAGAAGTATAAGTAACAGTCATGAGATTATAAACACATATTCCCTGATGTCCTGATAAGCTGAGTTGCATTTCTAATAAAGCAAAACCACTCCTGGTCTCCATTTACTAAACTTTGTACTTTGACAGTGCTGTTATCGCTGTAATGCAGAGGTGTATACAGGACTTGAAAAAAATAACTAAGTAAAAGTAAATCTACCTTAACAAAAACCGACTTCAGTAAAAATAAATTTCATTGATGAGAAAACTACTCAAGTAAAAATCACAAAACTGTTCACAAAAATTGGGAAAGTAAAAATAAAAGTACTTTTACACACTCTCTAAGAAATAAACTGTTGCATTTACTGAACCAAACTCGTTCCACTAAACCATGTAGAGTAAATAGAGAAATATACATATTTTCTTTGAGTAAATTCAACACTTTATTTTTTAAAGCGCAGAAACATCTCTTTCATGATGAGTTCGGACATGTTTAAATTTGCAACTGTGTTAAATGTTAAAGTAAAGAAGCAAAAGTATCATTTTTAGGTTTTAAATGTAACAAAATAAAAATAATGATAAAAGAAAAATCTGAAACATTACTTAAGTACTGCAACAATGTAAATGTACTTAGTTACTATAAACCTCTGCTGTAACGTAAAGACACTTTGCTGACAAGTACAGTGACCATGCAATAGTTTAATTTAATTTTGTTTTTGTTTTTTTCTCAGATGAGATATTTTTATACATATCTTGTCATTTCGTATGTATCAGTAAACTGACCAGAAGTCTGGGTGTGACTTTCAACTGATACCTACTTATCAGCGTTTTAATAAGTGGTTTCTCAGAAAGACTAAAGGGATTTTACAGTAAACGCTGCAGTGTTTGTGTAAAAATCCAGAGATTCTGCTCCTCAGTGTTTAAAGGGTGGCTGTTCCACCTTCTTTTAAATGTAAAACAAAAGTCAAGTACATGTCACGTGCATTTCTTTGAGGTTTTGAGGATGTTCAGTCTAAAAATAGCCACGATTTATTATTACCGTCCCTTTATCGTACAGCCTCTCAGGTCTATACTTTCTTTTTAAAGACCTGCTGTTCTTAAAGCTATAAAAAAACTCATGCAAATGTATTTTTACCTGCATAATGAAGACCAGCCTTTATCCACTATCACATGGCTAATTCAGATATTGGGCTAATTCTGTCACATAACTTGAAGCAAATAACCATGTCGCAGGATGAATCTTTTTAAKATAAACAATCTTTTGAATTTATCGAATGCTTGCTCAGCCGTAGCTAACGTCTCATTTTATTGGTTCTTCACAGCACAAACAAGTTAGCTGAACAAGGTCCACCTGAAATAGTCAGAATTAGGTCCAAAACAGTTTAGACAGAACATGTGAAGCTGTCTGACTTCTCTTGCTTAAGACTGGGTACTCATCTGATTCTGAACAAAAAGCCATAGGCTACATTCACACTGCAGGCAAATCCGACCCAAATCCGATTTTTTTTGACCCATCTGACTCATATCCGATTTTTTTATGACAGTCT